GATAGGACAATGTCCATGTAGGTATCGACAGTTACATTCATGTTTTGATAGGACAATGTCCATGTAGGTATCGACAGTTACATTCATGTTTTGATAGGACAATGTCCATGTAGGTATCGACAGTTACATTCATGTGTTGTATACACCTTTGCTTATGTTTGATATTACATAGTCCTGTACTTCACGAACAGTTCACCATTTCACCAGTTATAATCCTAATTTGAGAACATTTTACATAAATACCTTTTTAAATGTTTTCAACTTAGTTTAAAACTAATGTAGGTTGTTCAGTCTAGTGTTAGGTGGCCTTATTAACTCTATGTTTCTAAAATATATGTTAACTGGTGAGAGGTGTTTAGGCCTATTTCCATCAAGTTCACACAGTAGGTCGTTTTTATGCCAATTTTTCATAAAGTAGTTTAGAGAATTATGCAAGAGTGTGTCGCCAATAGTTTGCATGTTTGTGTAATTGTGCATGAATCTGGATGATGTGCTACTTTATAGGCTGTTGTAAGTAATGAGTTTTGTTTTGTTTGTAATTTATTTATCTGTTTAGGTGCTATGTTGTGCATGCGTATTCAGTATTACATGGTGTAGTTTCATGATTTTTACCAGTTAGACTTCTTGCATAATTTGTTCGTTTCCAAACTTTTGTTAATATGTTTAATCCACGTTAATTTAGAATCGTAGGTTAGGCCTAGAAGTTTTACTAAAGTTGTGGTCTGGAGAAGTGTTCTGTTTATACATAATTTTGGTGGGTTATTTTTATGCCTTGTTTGTTTTCATAATAATACTACTAGCTTATTTTTGGGGGGCATTTATTTTTATTCGATATTTTTGACAGTATTTTACTATATTGTTTAATTGTGGCTAAAAATTTGTTTCAGCAAAAAATGGAGTGGGGGCACTTTTCCAGATTACAACATCGTCTGCAAATTGTGATGAAAATACTAAGTTTGGGTTCTTGAAAGACGTATTGCTGACATACATGATGAATAAAATAGGGCTAACTACCCCTCCTTTGGGGACGCCTGCCTCTAGAGTAAAGGACTCCGAGTAGGTTCCCCTAACATTTATTTTACATTTTACATTTCCTCAAAAGTTAGATAACCAGCGAATAATTCCCCGCGGTAGGTCCATTTCAGTCACACGGAACCTAAGACCATCGTGCCAGACAGTGTCGAATGCTTTCTCGACATCGAGAAAACACGCGACAGTGCATTCATTTTTGTTGAAACTGTCAGTAATGGTTTCTGTGTTTTCTGCCTGCCTGATCTCCTGATCGGAATTTAGGTCTTTGTGATAATAATACTAAGTTTTTGACTGTCCTGAAAATTCGCGCGCACCTTACTATCTAAATGCGCATGCGCGCGCACTTCGTATCAACAGATGCAAACAAAAGAAGGGTGTAAATATACTTTAATAGATATTTTGTACATCAAATTAAAAGCTTATCAAAGTTTTTAAAAAGGTCTAATTTTAGGTCGTAATAACATTATAAGTTTATCTATTGATAGCCCCCCCAGTAGCACAGCGGTATGTCTGCGGACTTACAACGCTAGAATCCGGGTTTCGATACCCGTGGTGGGCAGAGCACAGATAGCCCAATGTGTAGCTTTGTGCTTAACTTCAATCAAACAAACATCTATTGATAGTGTTAAGTACGGTAAAATTTAGCCTAACTAAATCAGAGCAAAAACGTGTTAATTTATCTCTATCAAATATAGGTCGTACTTAATAAAGGCTTAACTAATGTTAGTGAGCTTATAAATTTCGGTGTCTGCGATTAGAATTATTTTGTATTACTCTAGAAATCCCGTATTTAAAGAAGTACTGTTCCAATAAAGATGTTATTCTGACCGTAAATGTTTTGCGGGTTTCTGCTAGTTTTAGTTATTTACTAAATTTTACAGAAGGTTTCTTTCAAGAGTACAAAATATTAAAATTTGTTTGTGATTAAGCACAAAGCTACACAATGAGCTATCTGTACGTTAACACCAGACATTCAGTTGTAAGACTTGGCGGTTATGTTAAAGCCAAGTCTTACAACTGAATGTCTGGTGTTAACGTACTGTTAGGTTAAAGCCAAGTTTTACAACTGAATGTCTGGTGTTAACGTACTGTTATGTTAAAGTCAAGTTTTACAACTGAATGTCTGGTGTCAACGTGCTGTTCTGTTAAAGTCAAGTCTTACAACTGAATGTCTGGTGTTAACGTGCTGTTATGTTAAAGTCAAGTTTTACAACTGAATGTCTGGTGTTAAAGTGCTGTTATGTTAAAGTCAAGTCTTACAACTGAATGTCTGGTGTTAACGTCTGTTATGTTAAAGTCAAATCTTACAACTGAATGTCTGGTGTTAACGTACTGTTATGTTAAAGTCAAGTCTTACAACTGAATGTCTGGTGTTAAAGTGCTGTTATGTTAAAGCCAAGTCTTACAACTGAATGTCTGGTGTTAAAATGCTGTTATGTTAAAGCTAAGTCTTAAAACTGAATGTCTGGTGTTAACGTGCTGTTATGTTAAAGCCAAGTCTTACAACTGAATGTCTGGTGTTAAAATGCTGTTATGTTAAAGCTAAGTCTTAAAACTGAATGTCTGGTGTTAACGTGCTGTTATGTTAAAGCCAAGTCTTACAACTGAATGTCTGGTGTTAACGTGCTGTTATGTTAAAGTCAAGTCGTACAACTGAATGTCTGGTGTTAACGTGCTGTTATGTTAAAGCCAAGCCTTACAACTGAATGTCTGGTGTTAACGTGCTGTTTTTTTTATCATAAAACTGCGCATTTGATTATCTACGCTGTTCGTCAGAGGTTATCGAACCGCGAATTTTAGTGTCTTAATTATTACATTTGCACCAGATTCATCAAGGAACAATAGAGAAGTGCATTATTATATAATGATTAGATAGGGTGAAAGACAAGCAACTGAAAAGAACCCTTTTATGTCTTTATTAGAGTTTTCAACAGTTTAATAAAACAAACTTGAAATTAAATTATATATATATATATATTGGAATAAGTTTTAATATACGAGAAATTCTATGCTATGATTAAATTAATACTTTTCGTCTTACCCCACCTGAAAACGTTATCATAGCCCAAACTTTTGGCTCCTATATCGGAATTAGGATAGAAAAGGAATCATGAACTTAAAGAACTAAAAGAATAAAAAAATCTATAAATTCCCATTAATTTCTGGCTACCTCTTAGTTCATTTTACTGGCGAACGTTTTTAAAACTAGTTTACATCACTTTTTAAAGACCTAACTGACTTTACGTCTCTATTTTTCAAAGACTAGTACATTTCAAGGAACTTTGTAGAACGTTTTATAACTGCTTTAATTAAATCGAGCTAGGCCTTTATAATACACTTTAGTAAATGTATTTATATCTAGTAATAATGTTGAACATAATAATAAAATAATGTAAAATTTTGTTGTTGTTAAGAGCTAAAATACACTGTGCTCTACCAACCGTCAGTAGCGAAACCCAATTTCTATCGTTATAAGCCCACCGGTGAGCATAACGTAACATAATAATTAACAATTTCATGTTAATTATTACACAGAAAGAGGCTCCCCCCAGTGGTACAGCGGCATGTCTGCGGACTTGCAATGCTAGAAACTGGTTTTCAATACCCGTTGTGGTCAGAGCACATATAGCACTTTATGTAGCTTTGTGGTTAATAACAAACAAACAAACAGAAAGAGGCAGAGTAAGAACACCATTGTCAACCGAGTTGATTAGGCTAATTAAACCATTGTCAACCCATTGGACTAGGCTAATTAACAAGATTAACAACAACAATCTCGGTCAATAAAATCTTCACTTAACCTCCATGTCATGTGGAAGTTAGAAAGAAGAAGCAAATAGACCACTGAGATAGTCAAATTATTATAATATGTATCGTCTAAATCTGGTGTATTATTGTTCTTTGGCCTTTTCATTACTCTAGTTGAATAACCACAAAAAAGGCTTAATAGAAGGCCTCGTCTTATTTCAAGATGGATGACAACGGTACCTGTGGTTTCCAGATATTCATAACACAGGGAGCCTTTATTACTGAGTTTAAAAATGTATAAAACTAGCATTTGATTTGGTTTTTGTTGTTTTTTGTTTTTTATGATGAACTATAGTGACCTACAATATCTTACTCTTCAGATACTAAAAGTTTTGTAGAACGGTCCACAGAAAAACATATCACGTGAGGTCACATGACGAAACAGATCAATAATGTGTATTAAAAATACTCTTTACTGACCAAAAATAACTATTTAATTATATTTATACAAAACTGATTAAGATATAATTCGTAAAACCTAACAGTTCACCTTGTTTCCCACCAGTGGCTTAGCGGTAAGTCTGCAGGCTTATAACGTTAAAAATCGGATTTCGATACCCGTGGTGGGCACAGTACAGATAGCTCATTACGTAGCTTTGTGCTTAATATAAAACAAAATAACCTTTTTTCACTTCTGGCGCCTGATAAAAAAAATCAATATTGAACTTTGTTTTACACTTCTAGTGGCTGATATTAAACGACGCAATAATTTCCACTGGCTTACACTTCTAGCATAGCCTGGTCGTTAAAGCGCTGAATTCGCAATCTGTAGGTTACGGGAGCGAACACCCTTTCGGCCGTAGGGGCGTTATTATGTTAAGGTCAATCCCATTATCCCTTGGAAGAGTGTAGTGTAACCCAAAAGCTGATGGTAGATGGTCCTGGCTATATTCATTGTTATGTAAAAAAATCTACAAAAATAAAAGGACGTGTTTGTCTGTGTGTGACCGCCATAGCTCCATGAGGAAAAAACCTAGAAACATGAAATTTTGCACCAGTACTAAGTGGTCCCTGAGAGTGTGCACCTGGGTATTACTTATATTATGCACATGTGTGCGCGCATGCGCGTGCGCATCTTTCTAATGTGGCAAGCTAGCGAAAAATTACATAAAAAGAAATGTTTTTATGCTTCTGGGAAATAAATTTTTTTAAAATATTTTTGACTGTTCTTTTATGTTAAAATAGGTTCAGAATACACACACACTGACACTAGAATATATCAACTTTCGGGTACTTTCGCTATTATAAATATAATATATGTACAGCTTAAAAATAGGCATAATGCCAAGATAGAAACTTCGCTTTACAGGACCATACATACATCAGAACGTTTGCAAACTTTTTTCATGGAATATTTTTTGTTTTTTACATTTCAGATTCCAAATTGGCATGGGAAGAATAACAACAACAATAATTATGGGTTACAAGCAGGTCGTATCTCCTGCTGTGGTGAATATCTTGAGGAACTCGGTCTTCTATTTCAAGCAATATAATATTATCCACTGGAAGAAACAGAAGTATTATGTAGACATGTGGATAGGAAAGAATGGTTTTCTTGAACATTCTGAACCCGTCGGAAGCTCATCATTATTTCAGACTGCGCATGACGAATGAATGATACACAAGCCAAGGAAGTATTGAAATTCGACACAAGTACTTGGAGTTTCGACAAAATTGTGATTAACGCACAGAGAATACTTTGTGCTGTCATACAGATTCGAACTTGGTTCGCCAGCTCATAAATCCAGAGCTCTATCTGGCGGCCTGTTGTGTTTTTACTATGACTGTTTCGCCGATCATCATTACTGTATTTTGTATGTAGTCTTACGTTTGTACACTAACTATTTCTGACCAAAGTCCAACAGTAGAATATTTAATACTTGCCTCTGAATATATCTTTGAATAATATTTTTCATACAGAATTGTTGTATAAAATTCTGAAATTGTTCTAGAGATAACATTAAAATACACATAATTTTCTTGTGTGATTGTCACGTGCATAACTCCTCTTCCAACTTGTTACTGTCAAATTTTCAATGTAAGGACTTGTATCTAGGATGATTTGACGTTTCTACAGATGAAGTAGTAAAAACTTTAACAGCAAGTGAACGTCAGCAGTAACACCGCAGTTTGAGTGAGTCTTATCTTTCGTAGAGTATTAATTTTAAATAGCCTCAAATTGACGATTATCTATGTTATATTTTGTATTAGTTGCTTTTAACGCTATCTAGTGCCTTAGAACACGTATGAATAGTAGTTAAAAACTGCTCGAGTTGTTACATTTGAAGGAGTTTCCAGTTGCAGGTAGTTGTTTGTTTATAGTTGTAACAGGTAGTTTTATTTGTTAGTAATTGTAACTGGTAGTTTTTGTTTGTTTGTAGTTGTACCAGGTAGTTGTTTGTT